TCTGAAACTCTGGATGCGTGTGATTGAAAAAACTTATCCACAAGAATACTTTATTCTATAAAGCAAGGAAGCATTTTTATTTTATTTTATTTTTCCAGACGCAAACCTCGAATTTGGGAATTTTCATGTGCTTTTGTGATTGCAAGTGTGATTTGCTATTTTAACATTATATCCATTGGAAACTGCAAACATGTACTTTCCATTGTCTCTTCCACACGGTATCATGTTCATATTATAAAGCCCCTTCCTCCACCACAAAGGGGCCAAATGCTCACAATTACACTTTTGCTCCCGTGTTTATACTGTAATGTTCTTTTTCTTTTCTTTTCTTTTCTTTTCTTTTTCCAAATTTCTGATTTCTAAACAATGGACCTACTTGGGATAACAATGAAAAATACTTATAAATACATTTCACGTAAATTGAGAGAAAACTCCTCTATATTTACTCTGTATTTTGTAAATCATAATTAAAAATCAAATATATGGGTAGTATAGCTTATCTATCCATCAAATTTTATATAAAATAGAAAATGTTTAATTCAACGTAAGCTTCATTTTAAATTGTTAAAAGAATTAGGAAAATTTATGTATTATAAGGTACTACCTCTAGTCTTTAATATAAGATCATGTTTGACTTTTATTTTGATCTTAAATATAAAATCCCAATTCACTTTGTCTCTCATATTTATACATTTTTTTCCAAAGTAATCCTTTTAACAATGATAGTTCTGATCAATACACTTGATTAATAAGGATATTTTAGGAAAGAAAACACCTATTTAGGACAAATAACTAACTCAACTTATTTCCTTAATCTCCTCAAATTAGTTAACTAGTTTTTATAATTAGGACCGGAAGTAGTATCAAAGGAAGAATAAAATTATATAAAAGTTTCAGAGTTGTTATTGAAATTTTTTTAGTAATTATTTTTTCATTTAGGTTTCATGATAATTCCCCCAACAAATTAATGCAACCTTTTTACAACTTTACCTTGTGATAAAAAGGACAAATTTAATATTTGACTAGGTTAAAACTGTTTTATTTACGCATATGATAAAATTTTATTCTTCAGACAAATGAAAGTTTATTCAATTGATAGTGATGTATATTTTGTAAAATGTGAGTTTAAATATCATTACTTAAATAAGTGATTTATTGGTTAATACTCTATAATTTATGAGTATTTTTATTAGTAATTTTTTACATATTTTAAACCTAGTGGCCCAACAAAACTTGGAGGGCATTATCCATTTAAACATTTTTTACCAAATCCATTTAAAGTTTAAGAAAAGCTGAAATAATTTATAAACTTGGATAAAATTCGTCATACACATACACATATTATGTGTGTGTGTGTGTGTTCCCCAATTAGCCAATCACGTGTGATGTGATCATAATTTAAAAAAGAAAAGAAAACTAAAAAATATATATATCAACAAGGCTGACGTGGGAGAAAATATCACCAGTTGATAGTATCTTACAAACTAAGAACTGACAATAAATGAACATGGTCAGGAATTCTATCAACTTATTTTAGTTTATAATTATAAGAGCAAGCTAAGGGATTTATTTTGATTCTAATACAAGATCTCAATTTTTTAAATTTATAATTTTTTTAAAAATGTTCTTATTGATTGCATATAGTAAGAAAATTTCTACAAAAAGATAGTTATAAAATTATAACACACATTATTAGAAAAGGTATTCTAAAAAATCAGCAAATTAATTATCTAACTATAATATTAAAAATCAGATAGAGGTTTTTTTTTGGTAACTAAAGGTTTAGACGATTTGGGTTCTGGAATCCCACTAAAGTCAGGGCATATCTCTAGGTTTTAGAGCGTTTATAGAGGTACTTAAAGATCATCTACTAATAAGATTTTATTTCAGTTGTAGGATTTAAACTCATAATTTTATAGGTTTTAGATGAATTCTTTATTAATTGGATTAATTCTTATCGGTAGTCAGGTAGAGTTTTTTCAAATTTACTAATAAAACTAAATCATACTTCAGGCAAACCTTCAAGTGTGTTTTTTTTGGGGGGGGGGGGGGGTTTTAACTTTTGGCACCCCAAAGCCGTCTCATCTTCACACTAAAAGATAAGAACGAAACACAAGGCATTAATTTGAACGCTAATTTTTCTTTCATTGAACCATGTTCTTATTAATTGCAACATTTTTGGGTTTTGAGCTTTGTCAAATTTTGGGTAATGGACCGTTTTTAAAAAAAAATATATATTTCCAATTTGAATTATTTTTTCTCAGTCTCTTCAAGAAATCTTGTGCTGCCTCCTATATAAATTATTGTAATACTTCCTGTACTCTTTTGTCTTATAATAAATAATTGGTGGATATGATGACTTGTATCTCTTCGTAAGAGATATTCAGACCTTGTTTCATTTTTTTTGGGGTTAATTTTTCATTTTGTTTCATTTAACTACTCATATTAATATTATTGCATTCATTATCATTTAGATAATACATTTTCTCTCTTATGACCTTTTACTACATAAATAAGGATTTTTTTAAAAAGTTATATTTTTCATATATTTATTGTTACTAACTAGTTTTAACTAATTTTTTTTATCAATATGCAGTTAATTGTCTCTTACATCAGGGGTAAAATTGCACAAAAAAACCAACAGTAAAAGTGCTCCAAAAAAATATTATGAGTAAAATTACATCACTATAATAATCGAAGTGCTGGGTGCACTTAAGAAATAAGATTGGGTGAATTTTTTTCAATTGCTTTTACTTCCATTACAATTATGGATAATTTTTTTAACGGTTATTGAAACACTAATTTTTTTGGTGAAAATTAATTTTACTGAAACATTAATTTTAATTGAACCCAATAATGTTTAATACGACAGCTAGAGAAAAATTATCGTTTCTACCTATAGTTATTTGTACTGCAAGCTTACAATATTAAATTAAGTAAAAAAAAAATTCTTTTCTTTTTCTACAAAAAGAAATTGTAAATAATACAGTTTGTTGACTCTATGTCCACGCAGAGTATGTTGCTCAACAGATTTATATTAAATTACTTTTATTTTTAATATATATGTAACTAAAAATTACTATATAATTTCATTTAAAATCGTGTTCGTCGAAGGTGCTCCTAACCACAAGCTAAAGGGGGACGTTCTAGATGGTCAACGATATTTCGCACTATAAGTCAAATCTCAAGTATGCCCCTTCTCGTCTTCTTCTCCTGTTTCATTCTTTAGGGTTGCATTTTTCTTCTTTCATTGACCATTTATAAAAATACTGTCATAAATTTGCTATTGTTTGTTTTTGTGCTACGCATATATATATATATATATATATATTTATTAAAAATAATTTTATTTAAAATATTATTGGGCATTAAATATGAGCAATTATTATCTTTCACAAAAGTTTTAACTTATAACCTTATGAATAAAAATTTTTAAAAAGAGGTATTTGGTGCCATATGTATTGTAACTTGTAAGATCAAAACTATGAAAAAGAATTATTTTACCACTAGAACAATACACCAAGCATGTCTTGCTTTTAGAAACTTAAATTTCATGCCTTGAATTCATTTATGCTTTCAAACTAGTCTCTCTCTCACACATGAACAATGTGTGTGAAAAGGTTAGGAAGTTATTTTTTTTTAAGAAATAAATTTAAAAAAATAGAAAAAAAGAAGAAGAAAGGCAGCATGAAAGCAATGTGTTTGATTGTGACTGGGCAATACTCATGTCTTGCTCCCCTTTAAGTTTGTTACTCCACTCAATGTCTATGACGATTCTGTCGTTTTTCTTCTCTAACTAATACTCCCTCCGTTCCTTATTATAAGAGACATTTGATGCTTATAGCATGTTCCTAAATATAAGAGACACTTAAAAGTTGTCTCTACTTTTTTGTGTTGATTTCCTATTTTACCCATATTTATTGTCTCCAACTCACACTCTCTCTCCTTTCCACTTCTCTTTCTTTTGAGAATTTACTATTGTTCTCTCTCATGCTCTCTCTCCTTATTAATGAGGGCATTTTTGGAAAAAAAGTTATACTTTTTACATATTAATTGTTCTTAACTAATTTTAACTGTTTTTTTGATCAACGTAATTCGGTTATTTGTCTCTTATAATAAGGAACGGAAGGAGTAATAAATAATAATATCACCAAAAAATAATAAATAATAATAGTAATAGTAATAAAAAAAAATAAATATGCACTTCTTCACTTTCTTTTTTCTTTACGTGTTGTTGGGTAATTTGCCAAGGAATAAGTTATCCCATTAAACAAAGGAAGAGACAAAATGAATAGAAAGATTTTAATTATATATTAATTGTTTTTTTGTGCAAAAATTAATAGATTAATATATTTAGCGTCCTAAAATATGTTTTTAGATATATAGTATCCTAAAGTATTTTGAAATGTATCCAATACCTTATAGTGTTTTTTAAAGTGAGTTTAACAGTCTAAATTATATTTTGATGCATCGAGGCATCTGAACTAATTTTTTAGATGCGTTTAACATTATAAATTATTTTTTGGCTCATCCGATATCTTAAATTAATAATCATAAAATTTAACTTGAAAAATAAATTAAGGTTCTAGATGCAACACAAAATACTTATATGCAGTTAGAAAAATATTTTATCCAACATTAATTGAAAACGACTTATAATTCTGAGCATATGCTAATGTAAATAAATTAAAGTGGTATGGCTTAATAAGGAAAACACCCATGAGTTGCTAGCCAACGAAAAAAAAGCCAAGGAACTACGGGCACTTAATAATGAGATTTTGGGTGGATATTATTAAAAGGAATTTTTTTTTCTCAATTTTTTGAAAAGAACGAAGAAGAAGAAGAAGAAAGTTCAATTCACTGGGGCAGAAGAATCAGCATTACTTTAACTGAAAAGAAATCGAAATGCAGGGATGAAGACCATAGACACAAGTTTTACAGTTCTCTGAAATACAAGAAGGCACTATCATTATGTCTTTGTTTTTCACTACCCTTCTCTTCTCTCTCTCACTCTCTCTGTCTTCCCCTCCCTTTGGGTGCGTGCAGTGAAGTACTCATACCCCTTCTCTCTCTCTCCCTCCCCCTCCCTTCTCTCTCTGTTTCTGTCTTCGGATAAATTCTCCACCCAAACCCCACACTCTCTTCACTCTTCTTCCCCTACTCTGTTCTCCAGAAGCAGAGCCGGCCATGTCCACCGTTCTTCTTCTTCCTCTGTTACTCCTGCTTCTTCCCTCCATTCTCTCTCTCAACCAGGAGGGTCTCTATCTCTACCAGTTCAAGCTCTCTCTCGACGACCCGGATGCCTCTCTCTCCTCCTGGAACCCCCGTGATGTCACCCCATGTGCCTGGTCCGGTGTCACCTGCGGTGCTGCCTCCAATTCCTCCGTCACTCGCCTTGACCTCTCCAACACTAATATCGCCGGCCCATTCTCTGCCTCCATCCTCTGCCGCCTCCCCAACCTCTCCTTCGTCTCTTTCTTCAACAACTCTGTTAATCAAACCCTTCCTGCAGATATCTCCTCTTGTCGCTCCCTCGTTCATCTGGACCTTTCCCAGAATCTCCTCACCGGTGAACTTCCGCATACTCTGTCTCTACTGCCCAATCTCAGATACCTGGACTTGACCGGAAACAATTTCTCGGGTCCTATTCCTGACTCATTTGGGAGCTTTCGGAAGCTCGAGGTTATTTCTCTTGTGTCTAATCTTCTAGAAGGTACCATTCCCGCTTCTCTGGGTAATATTACGACATTGAAGATGCTCAACCTTTCGTATAACCCGTTTTATCCGGGTCGGATCCCGCCGGAGATCGGGAACCTGACTAATCTCGAGGTGCTTTGGTTAACGCAATGTAACCTGGTTGGCACGATTCCCGACTCGCTAGGGAAGTTGAAGAAGCTCAGGGATTTGGACCTGGCATTCAATAATCTGTACGGGTCGATCCCGAGTTCGCTTATGGAGATGACGAGTTTGAACCAGATTGAACTGTACAATAACTCATTGTCCGGTGAGTTGCCTCGGGGATGGTCCAACCTCACTTCATTGAGGCTCCTCGACGCGTCGATGAACCACCTCACGGGGACCATTCCGGATGATTTGTGTCGTTTGCCACTGGAAAGCCTCAATCTCTACGAAAATCGTTTCGAGGGCGAGTTGCCGGAGAGCATAGCTGACTCTCCGAATCTCTATGAGCTTAGATTGTTTGGGAACAGGCTCACCGGGAAGCTGCCGGCGAATCTTGGCAAAATTTCGCCATTACGGTGGATCGACCTGTCAACCAACCAGTTCTGGGGAGGAATTCCGGCTAGTTTGTGTGACCAGGGGCAGTTGGAGGAGCTTCTGCTGATATACAATTTGTTTTCTGGTGAGATCCCGGCGAGTTTGGGGATGTGTCAGAGCTTGACAAGAGTTAGGCTCGGTTACAACCGGTTGTCCGGCGAAGTTCCGGCCGGTATATGGGGGCTTCCGCATGTATACCTTCTGGAGCTTGTTGATAACTCTTTTTCGGGTCCAATTTCTTCAACTATTGCTGGAGCTGGGAATCTGTCGTTATTGATTCTATCGAAGAACAATTTCAGTGGAGCGATCCCTGATGAGATTGGATGGTTGGAAAATATTGAGGAATTTTCTGGGAGTGATAACAACTTTACTGGGTCGCTGCCTGATAGTATTGTGAATCTTGGGCAACTTGGAACTCTTGATCTTCACAACAATAAACTCTCTGGCCAGCTCCCCAAGGGAGTTCGATCCTTGAAGAAACTTAATGAGTTGAATTTGGCCAACAATGACATTAGTGGCAAAATTCCTGATGAAATTGGGAGTTTGTCCGTGCTCAATTTTCTTGACCTTTCCCACAATCAACTTTCCGGGAAAGTTCCTCGTGGGTTACAGAATTTGAAGCTTAACCAGCTGAATTTGTCTTATAATCGACTTTCTGGAGAACTTCCCCCTCAGTTGGCTAAGGATATGTACAGGACTAGCTTTTTGGGTAATCCTGGTTTATGTGGGGATCTGAAAGGTCTATGTGATGGCAGAAGTGATGCTAAAAATGAAGGTTACATTTGGTTACTTCGAGCTATGTTCATCATTGCCACTTTGGTGCTTCTCATTGGTGTGGTCTGGTTCTATTTCAAGTATAGGAACTTCAAGAACGCAAGAAGAGCCATTGATAAATCGAAATGGACATTGATGTCCTTCCATAAACTGGGTTTTGGTGAAGATGAGATGAACTGCCTTGATGATGACAATGTGATAGGAAGTGGGTCATCAGGGAAAGTTTACAAGGTAGTGCTTAGCAATGGGGAGGCAGTTGCTGTGAAGAAACTATGGGGAGGTGCTGTGAAGGACATAGAGAGTGGTGATTTTGAGAAAGGCCAGGTTCAAGACAATGCTTTTGATGCAGAGGTTGAGACTCTTGGCAAAATTAGGCATAAGAACATTGTAAAGTTGTGGTGTTGCTGTACTACTAGGGACTGCAAGCTCTTGGTGTATGAGTACATGCCTAATGGTAGTCTTGGAGATTTGCTACATAGTAGTAAAGGTGGATTGTTGGATTGGCCAACAAGGTATAAGATAGCAGTTGATGCTGCTGAAGGCCTCTCTTATTTGCATCATGACTGTGTTCCACCAATTGTTCATAGAGATGTAAAATCCAACAATATCTTGCTGGATGGTGACTTTGGCGCAAGGGTGGCTGATTTTGGAGTTGCTAAGGTTGTTGAAACCACTGCTAAGGGAGCTAAATCCATGTCTGCCATAGCTGGGTCATGCGGATACATTGCACCAGGTTAGTTAACAACGGAAGTTTCATTTAATGCTTATTGAGTAGTATTTTTGCTTAATTTGATGGGTCCGAAATGTATTAAATTTGTTTAGTACATAGCCCTAACATAATTATCAGAACTTGATTTGTGTTTGCATTATTTAGAGCTTCAACTTCCTGCTATGTTGTCCGTTAGCGTAGTTGATTACTTGATTATGTTCTGCATGTTTTGTCACACTGGGATCTAAAATTCACTGTCTTTGTTTTGAAACAGAATATGCATACACGCTCAGAGTGAATGAGAAGAGCGACATCTATAGTTTTGGTGTCGTCATACTCGAGTTAGTAACTAGAAGACGCCCGGTAGACCCAGAATTTGGGGAAAAGGACTTGGTTAAGTGGGTCTGCACCACTATAGATCAGAAAGGCGTGGATCATGTACTTGACTCCAGTCTTGATTCTTGTTTCAAAGAAGAGATCTGCAAGGTCCTCAACATTGGCCTCATGTGCACTAGTCCTCTTCCAATTAACCGCCCGGCCATGAGAAGAGTGGTGAAGATGTTGCAAGAAGTAGGCACAGACAGTAACCAAACGAAGGCATCGAAGAAAGATGGGAAGTTGTCACCATATTACTATGACGATGGCTCTGATCATGGGAGTGTACCTTAGCTCAACTTCTTGCTAGGGTTATTTTGGTCCTGAAGGGAGAAACAGAAGCTGCAAGCCTGTTCTTTTACTTGTAGAGCCTACAACCCTCCAGGTTTACGGAATTTGAGGGGGGAAAAAAGAAGAAAGATCTGAAGCTTTTTTTTGGGGGTTTTAATTATTTTGCTTTCTCGGATTTCTTGTTCTCACACTGTAAAATAGGTCCATATCAAGGAGGTTCCTCTCCAAATTCAGATGGATGTTTGCATTAGTACTACTACTAGGAATGATATATTAATATCTATATTTTACTGTTGGGGAGATTCAATCTATCAACTTCTTGCTCAACTTCTTGCTAGTGTTATTTTGGTCCTGAAGGAGAAACAGAAGCTGCAAGCCTGTTCTTTTACTTGTAGAGCCTACAACCCTCCAAGTTTACGGTTTTTTTTTTTTGGGGGGGGGGGGGAAGAAGATCTGAAGCTTCCTTTTCGGGGGTTTTAATTATTTTGCTTTCTCGGATTTTCTTGTTCTCACACTGTAAAATAGGTCCATATCAAGGAGGTTCCTCTCCAAATTCAGATGGGTGTTTGCATTAGTACTACTATGATATATATAATATCTATATTTTTACTGTTGGGGAGATTCAATCTATCTGACTCTGTTCACTAGGTACTGAAATTGTGGAGCCATTTGCCTCAAATAGGATCTTCACTATACGAAACTTGAGTTACCTTCACGTACTAGAATTCTCCCAGAATAGTAACGAACTTGCAGATGAATCATCCATGCACTGGAACTTCCCCACATAAATGCTTTTGACTGTTCTGTGGTTGCGGATTTAACCTTTCACAGTGCCTCAGGTATGTGCTGGGTACAGCTATATTAGCTGTGATTTAATGGGGTTGTTAGGTGGGCTCATTCTCACATGGCCCCCCTCATTAAATTGCAAGTTCCATCCGCTTGTGCTGATTACTACCTTTGTCTGAGATATCATGTGTGTATAAATATATATATATATATATATATGTAAGGGAGAAAGATCTGAAGCTTCCTTTTCGGGGGTTTTAATTATTTTGCTTTCTCGGATTTTCTTGTTCTCACACTGTAAAATAGGTCCATATCAAGGAGGTTCCTCTCCAAATTCAGATGGATGTTTGCATTAGTACTACTATAGGAATATATAATTATCTTATTTTTACTGTTGGGGAGATTCAATCTATCTGACTCTGTTCACTAGGTACTGAAATTGTGGAGCCATTTGCCTCAAATAGGATCTTCACTATACGAAATTGAGTTACCTTCACGTACTAGAATTCTCCCAGAATAGTAACGAACTTGCAGATGAATCATCCATGCACTGGAACTTCCCCACATAAATGCTTTTGACTGTTCTGTGGTTGCGGATTTAACCTTTCACAGTGCCTCAGGTATGTGCTGGGTACAGCTATATTAGCTGTGATTTAATGGCGTTGTTAGGTGGGCTCATTCTCACATGGCCCCCCTCATTAAATTGCAAGTTCCATCCGCTTGTGCTGATTACTACCTTTGTCTGAGATATCATGGTGTATAAATATATATATATATATATATATATGTTACAACATGCTTATACTTTTGGACAATAACTCTGGAGTTGGTGGTACTGACATTTTTTTATTCTTCTTTGAAAAGTCTTTTGGGTTTAAACCCAGAAATGGAATCTTGGCATTTGGATCTTTTCTTGGTTAATGGTTGTTTTTGTGCAGCTAGTTAGGCTGGGGAAGAAAGGGGAATGGAATTTATTGTTGTGAAGGAGGGAGAAGGACGGGGTTTGGGTCATGCTATTTTGGCAGTACAGAGTAGTTGTGCTAACTAATAAACAATATATAATATGGCACTCTTGTTTTGTTTCTCATCCTCGTGTGTCTCTGTGTCTGTCTGTTTTTAACCACTCATGCGGTTCTTTTTGTCTGATAGCTTTGATCTAATTGTTTAAAAATGGAAGGGGTCTGTCAGAGTTTATAGTGTGCTCCTAAGAATTTGTTAAAAGAAAATTATTTAAAACCAATTATCTGAAAGAACTTATAGCTTTTAAGAATTATTCTTAATTAATTTAAAAATTGAAAATTCTTAGAAAGTAATAAATATTTAAGAGATTACATGGATGTTTTTCTATTAATAAGTGAAGCTAAGTTTATGTTTCTATTAACAAAGAAAAAAAGGGATGTAAAATCCACTATTTTAAGCTGGTTGTAAAATATATCTAAAGGAAAAATTGTTCAAAACTCACCTGTTGTAAAATTTTGTTGTCCAAGGTACATGAAATCCGTTTAAAAGATGAGGTGTTATATATCTTTAGTTGTAACTATTTTTCAATTATATGCAACTTATTTTTAACTATGTATAAAATAAAAGAAATTTGTATATAGTTGAAGATAAATTACATAAAACTAAAAGATTTCACTTGCTAATGGACCAGAGTTGTCCAGTTCTTAGATACCTTTTGGCAATAAACTTTTTCTTGAGAATTTTTCAGCAATTTTCCTCAATTTTTTGATAGGTTGATGTAAAGCTTTGGTTGCATAATTCTTGACTAAATCTCCACAAGAGTGTGTTTAACATTTTTTATGCCCCCAATATGAACAAAGGTCCGAATCCTAGTTTTCAATGGAAGAATTTTATTAGTTGATAATCTAATTGTATTTTCATAAGTACTATTTGTGCAATGCATTCAATCTTGGTCTTGGTGAAATTCTAAAATTTACCGTTTTTAAAAAATAAAACTTATTAAAATAAAATGGGAATGGAAATAAAGTAATAAAATATGGCTTTCGTGTCTTGTATAAAGAAATGACTAAAAATAAATGAATATGGTTGTGTAAAAAATTAACATGAAGAGAAAATAATGAAAAAGCAATACAAGAAGAATGTAGGCATGAAATTTGTATCTTTATCTTAATCGTTTTTCTTTATTTTATTTTTATCCATTAAAAATTCTCTTTATTTTTTGTAAATTTGAGAAAGAGTGGAAGGTCTCCTTCTCTACTCTTCTTTTTATTTATTTCCAATTTTTGTCAAACTTTTTGTTTCCAAATTTACATGATGTATGCAACTAGTGAATACATATATATTACATTTGAACACCCCACACCATTTTTTTAATTAATTTTTTTCGCTAAATTAACTTTTACATATAAATTCTTAAAGATTTCATGATGAGTTGTTTATCTATGGAAAGGGTGCTCTCCTCTGATTTTATTAAAAATAATTATGCTATATATTTTTTTATTATAAATCCGATGGGCCGCTATCATTATCATCTTAAAGCACTGGCTTATTATAATTTATGGTAAAGTGTGGTTTTAATTAAAAAAATGAAAAGCTAGACTAGAAAGACTAAATAGAACATAAATTTTTTTTTGTTACAATTATATGGTATTCGATACAAAATATAGTGTACATTGCAAAAATATTAATTTTAATACTTTTTTTTGTTAATGACTTTAACTTTGTAGATACTGTATATTTTAAAGAACTTCATTATTATATTGTCATATTTACAAAACTATTGCTTTATATAAGAAAACTAAATCAACTTTGTGGGTAGGAATTTAGGTTAATCGATACCAAGTAAATTAGAGGAAAGAAAGAAACCATTTTCATACATAAATGGACATGGATCAAAGAGAGGATGTCCATTTCTTAAATCACTTACACATGTCACTTTAAGGAAATCAACTATTATGAGAAATAAGTTCTTTTATCTCAATCACAGGTAATATCAAGAGAGAAAACAATAGATTTGCATCCAAAAGGACACGTTGTTGGGCCTATACTAGCTTCTTTTTGAATTTGCTTTATCTTCTAAGCCTAGTTCTTTGGTAGCTTTCTTTTTCTTTTTTTTTCCTTCTTGTTTTTTTTCTCTCCTCTTAAAATTGATGCCTTATCCCCGTGCACACACACATATATATGAGACAAAAAACCAGTTCATAATACTCAAACTTCCTACATTTACAATTGGTGGACTTGTTGGTATATAGAATAAAATAATTTTGGGGGAAAAAAGATGTGACGCTCAAATTTTTTTAAGAAATAACATAGGAAATAAAAATGTTATGCAACAATGAGGTTATAATAATAGATACTCCTCCGGTTCTTAATCTCCGGTTCTATATTATTTAACTAATTTGATTGGATTAAGGAAGTTAGATAAGTTAATTAATTATAAGAAATGTGACATTTTTTTCCTAAAATACCATAATCATCTTTCTCTAATACCTCCTATTCCTCTTTTATTTGATTATGGTTAAAGGAGTGTCCATAAGGGTAATTTAGAGAAAATTGATAAATATGAGAAATAAGTTTATATTAGGACCAAAACCAACTCAAGAATTAGGTCATATATTAAAGACGGCGAAGAGTATCATCCAGCTAGGGGGGAAAAGAATGAAAAAACTCACTCCGAAACTCACCTACATGGAGCGATGGTTTTTATTTGGAATTTTGAGTTATCTATAATATTTCTTCATCATTTTCAATTTTTATGAGTAAATTAAAATAACATATTTTTAAAAATTTTTTACAGTGAATTAATTTTTTTGGGTACAAATGAATAAAGTTTTTTGTGTGTGTGGAAATTAACAATAACTTGAGAGGATGATGGGGCTCCAACTCCAGGAATAAATAATGGGGCCCAACACTGTCAATATAAGTTTCAATCCAATCTGAATTTAAATTATGCACTTTGGATTAGCCACTAAATCAACCCATACCCTATTGGGTTGGATCAAATTTTCTTTAAAACCTCGTAATGAATCCAAAGTCGAACTGAAACTCCTTTTTATGTATTAAAAAAAAACCCCTTTCCCTTCTTCTAAAAAAGCAGATCCAGTCCAAATGAATAAAAGAAAGAGGAATATACGAGACAATGAGATTTAAAAATAAAAATTGATGTTGGGGTTGGACATGTATTCTTGCTATGATTACAAGTTTAAAGGAAATTTATCTCAAAGGATTAATCTCCAAGGAAAGAGTCTCTTACACTTATAAATGAAACCTTATTTGTGTGGCTTCTCAATATAAGATTCATAACAATTTTTGTCCTTAAATTTAAAAGAAAAAGAGGAGAAAACGGCAGTCAATTGCATAATCAAATATTAGATACATTTACCGCGACACTAATTGAATTATATAAGTAGTAAGAGTGATACAGGATTCGAATAGATAACTTTAGGATTTTAAATTCTTTTTTTTTTTGACCGGATTTTAAATTCTTTTAATACATTAGAAAAAGGGTTAAAGTCTAGATTTAGGGTTTGTTTGAGTGACTCTCAAAACCATGGTTTGGGA